TATATATATATATATATATGTTAGTTTGCTTGGGAAAGTTAATCTCTTAGAGACTTAACGTTTCAATTTTAACTCCAGAATCAATCAAAGCTTTGTAAAACTTAATTAGTACTAATTTGATTAAATTATCATCGATGATTTAGTAATCTAAAGTTCCTAATTAACATCTACTCAGCATGCATGTAGAGCCAGCTTCCATCCAGTTGTTGATGAAGACTATGTCTGCCTTGTTGGGCTGTCATCAATTGGCACATATATAACGACTGGTATAGGGCGGCGAAAATGATATCCAATAATTTTCTCGAGAAAATTAAGAAGAAATTTCGTTTGCCATAGCCCATAGCCATAGGTGGTGTATATGCAATTGTTAATTTCTTCTGATGTGTTCAGACTTCAGAGTTGCGGTTTTTAAAATTTCAACTTGTCCTCGACTGTTGAACCAATAAAGGTTTGGGATATGTGTATTTTCTTCTGTTAATCCAATGCCAGTTTTATCCCAACATCAGAAGAAATTAAAAACAAAATACTTGTTTTATCCCATCCATCATGACGAGCGAAAAGTAAGGGAAGACATTTTCATTTTTTAAGAGGAAAATGCCATGCACAAGACAACAAACAAATTAAATTGCACTCTCCTTTAAAAAAAGAAAAAAGAAAAAAGAAAAGAAAACACAGACACACAAAACAAATTGACTTATAGTGACAAAAATTGCCTTATAGTAAGCAAAATTAAAGATTTTGATAAGTTGAGGTCATCAAACCTCAACATGCTACTCCTTTCAATTTGATTTAATTTGATTTAATTGTTTTATAATTTGATTTTACATAAAATTTGATTATATAATTTTATATAATAAACAAATGATAATTAAAAAATTATTTTTATATGTAGTTCTTACCAAAGTGTTTTTGCTCAGATTATTATTTTTTTTCAGTTGATATTTGTTTACTATATAAAATCATCAAGTTAATTTAGTCGAGGATTTGATTATGACAGCTAAAAAAGATAGGAGGAGCACTACTCCCTCTATTTAACTTTAATTAATGGAGCTAGTTTTTTGTCTAATAAAATAATAATGTAATAATTAATTGATAAAATTTTATATTAATTCTTAATTAATTATTATTTAAATAGATTTTTTATTTAATATATGTTATAATTATTTTTTAAAATAAGAGTAAAATAAAAATCAACACATTAAATGATAATATCCAAAAAAATAGATAACTAATTTTAACACCTTAAATTAAAATTTAAGTTTACTAAAACTGAGAGAATGATATTTTTCACTTTTAGGTACATCCAAGTAATTAGTTATTACTTTGAAAAAATTATAGTAGGTGGTAATAAATCCTTAATTCTTAATAAGGTTTCTATCTTTTGTTATTTATCCACTAAGTTTTGTGGAAAATGTGGGAAAGAAATTTTGTCAATAAAATGAAGAGTTGCGTTATAAAATTTTAATTTAATTGAATGAAAAAAATTTTAATATGTGTGTGTGAATATATAATCACTAGTTTTTGAAACATAAATATATTATGGTCAAAACTTTATCTCTACAAACAAAATTAAATCATTTCTCTAATCTAAATATTTATTACAAACAGTAAGAGTTTAGGTTTTTTTTGAATGATTTATAGTTTGAAAGTGAGGGATTCAAATCTAATCCTAAAATTAAAAGATATACTTTATGATAGCTGTAAAGCCATTAGACCATGAGGACTAGGTGTCTGTAAAAATTTTTACTTGTAAGAGTTTAGTTGTAAAAGAGAAAAATCAAGGTCATGAATTCTTAGCATGCATTTGTATTGCTAAACAAAATTAACTTTTTGATTTAGTAAAAAAAAAAAAATCTGAATGTTTATTGAAAAAAAATATAATAAATTAATTTATGATGTTGCATTTGTCCTTTTAAGAATTGAACTTGTCTAATCTAATAAGTTACAGAGAAGAAAGCAGGTCTTCTCTCTTCACTTCTCTGATCTCCCCTCAATAAAAACACACATATTCTTCTTCTTTCCTCCCACTACTACCTTTCCTATCTTCGTATATTGACCTATTCTTTCTTCAATGGAAACCGATCAGACTTCACCGGAAAATCCTGACAAAGCAGCAACCTCAGACGAAGAAGGAGGTACTAATTACACTCAGACCAGGTTCTACGAGTGCACCTTCTGCAAGAGAGGCTTCTCTAACGCACAAGCCCTAGGTGGCCACATGAACATCCACCGAAGAGACAAGGCCAAGCTCAAACAACCCTCCCCTGCCGGACCTCCAAACATCTCCAAGTTGGATTCCTCGTCGTCTCCGAACCCACCAGACACAACGCTGGACACTAAGTGGCCGCCTTGGTTTCTTCAAAACAAAGACAAGGATATTGTCAAAGGAAGCGACAAATTTGGAGAAATCCGGCGACTGCCTTTGTTTATGGAAAACCCCTCCCTTGGTTCCAGTGACAATCAAAAGGGTTTGTCATCGAGCCAGGGCTCGTCAGAGCTGGACCTTGAGCTAAGACTGGGACCGGATCAGCCTTCATCGGAGACGGCGCCGGACACAAGAAAGTTCTTTTGAGATTGAATATGTACGTTTATATTCTTCTCTGATCTCCTTTTATTAATTATTATGTCTCAATCTTTTTAAGCCAGAGATACCCTTGTAGGTACGTATGAATGATTTCTTTTCTTTAATTAATATTGCTAAAACATTAATATTTATTGTCCTTTGTTTACATTTGTGTAACTCTTTTCAAGGATATTAATTTCGAAGCCGCCTTTATTAATTTCGAATTCAATATTTGATAATGATTAGATTTGTTTATGTGGGTTCATCTTCTACATCCGAAATTCAATTATTTGATGAGTATATATGTAAGCCCTTTTTTTGGCCATTTTGCTAGCTCTTTTATAAGGGACTACAATTGAACTAATCATATATGAGGTGAGTAGACATATCTTTCTTTTGTGAATGAGAGATGATCTACTTATTAAGGTTTGGAAAGAAAATTAGGTTTTTAGGGTATGAAAAAGGAAAACATGAACGTGAACACGAATACATTCATCCCTAGGTAAGATTTTTACAGTTCCATAACATTAATTTCTGAGAGAAACCAAAAGTTTTGCAATGAAGATTTACTTATGCTATATATGCAAGCTTCTGTCTCATGTACTCATTGCGTTCCATGCAATGATGAGAGAATAGATATTACACACATATAAATACATACGTATATATATACATATACATATACATATTTTTATATATGATTATAAAAAAAAAATACATATATCCACAGACACATTCATGCACATACATATACAAGTTTTATAGCAATATATTGTTGTAATAATTTCTTGGGAAATGATATATACATTCTGTAAAGTTATATACTTCGTTACATATTGACAGTTTCTGTTATTTATGCTATTAAAACTGACAGTTTTCATTACTTGTGCCGTTAAAATTAACGATTTCCATTATTTATGTTGTTAAAATTGACGATTTTCATTATATACTAACGATTTCAGTCAGTAAGTAACAAAATGTGTAACTTTACAGGATATATATATTAATGTCTTAATTTCTTTATATAAGAAAAGAAGCTTCAATTGTTAATTTGCTTTTTCCACATAAGAACTATATTGTTGCCCAGACTTTGCACAATTTTTCCATTGCATTATGATCTCTTCTCATATACAAAAAGCGCATGCATCTAATTGAGTTTGCTTGTCTTGAGATCTATATATAAAATTAGCATGTATCAGTTTTAAGGAAATAGTGCACGTCAGCTCTAACTTAAAAAATAAATTGAAATTTTAATATTAAATTATGTTATTTTATTTAATTAAAACTTAATTCAAAATTTAAAAATTTATCTTATTAAATATTAATATTTAAATTTAAAAATTAATTGTATTATAATATAATTAGTTTCTAAATCTAAGTATTGACACTTAATATGATGGATTTTTGAATTTTGAATTAAAATTTTACAATGTTAATTTTCTTTTAGAGTGAAAATTGATACACACTAATATATATATATATGCATGTTGCTTCTACATTGGAAAATTTTTAAATGTATAGGTTTAGTCAAGGCCTATAAGGTTTTGCTTGGTCAAGGATCATAGAAAACAGAGATTTTCATATCTCTCTTCTTTTTCTTTCTTTTCATTTAATTTCTCCAGTTTTTACATCAAAAACATGAAGGGAAAAGGTTATTAATCAATTTCTTTTTTTCTCTACTTAAAGAAATGACACATACACGTTATAAAATTGCACACTCTATTACACATTAATAATTTTCATTACTTATATTGTTAAAATGGACGGTTTCCGTAACTTATGCCATTAAAATTGAAAGTTTTCATTACTTGTGTTGTTAAAACTGATGATTTTCATTACTTATACCATTAAAACTGACAGTTTTCATTACACATTAATGGTTTTTGTCAATATGTAACAAAATATATAATTTTACAAGGTGTATATATAGTTGGCTAAGTAAATTTTAATTTTTTTGATATAGTGTTGATCAAATTGTAACATATTAGTTTTGCACACCAAACTAAATTCACCTCTCTTGGAGAATGGGTGGAGAGGAGTTTAGGAAAGGAATAAAAATCACATGTTGTACAGTCTATTATCAACTATATTCAACTCTTTAGTTAAATCAAATACAAACTATTCAAATTATTACTAAGGAAATTATAATTATGGAAAGATTTCCTAATAAGATTGATCCAATCCATAAGGTGGAAAACAAATTTTCATGCTAATAATTAGATAATACCCCTCGCTTTTAACCTATATATATTTTAGACTCTAGAAATATTATCCTACGGACAATTTAATCATATATAGGCATAACTTAACATTCACATGTGCTTAGGACTAGGGGGGACCTAGACATTGCATTTAAAACAATTTACTTTACGTTCTATCAAGTACTTGTAATTACAGTACTCCTAGGACGCTGCATGCATCTGGTATTCTGATACAGTCAAGGCGGCATTTAAAAGAACTCAACCTTCTTTGTACTTTGAAATTAAATGTTACTTGAAATGGTAATTTCTTAGCTCGTAGGAGCAATTTTCATATCAAATTTTTAATTAATTCTTACAACTTCAACTGATAGTTTAATTAATAAATACTTTTAGGGGCCACTCAAAAAATATATATATATATACACACACATTTTGTTTTTTTTTTTTTAAAGGTTAGTTAGGAAGATAAGGTCCATATGTAGGTGTACCAGTTGTCTTCACAAAATTTCCATAATTGAAACGTGTTTTAGACAAAATATATAAACGTGGGGACATATAAAAGGTAAAAACGGAAAATGCATAAAGTGTAGGTCCTTGGTTACTGGACGCCGGTCCCTTATAAAATCAGACAATTAATCCTCTAGCTTCTGCAATGATGGAAACTAACTGAAATGACCAAGGAGCTGGTCCCCCTAAACCCTAATATGTGAACTGTTGCATTGGCAGACACTTAACAACTTCTTGTCTTCTGTCACGTGGTATTCTACTTTTGTAAACCAGTACTATATGTTGATCTCTCAAGTCGGGAGTGAAGCCAGTTGTCTCAAATCGGAAAGTTTTTTGTGATTGTGAGTGATATAATACATTGTCGGTTTTGTCTTTATTTTAAAGGTCCCTTTGAACTTGTGATACTCTTATCATCAAAACCCCTAGTTGAATTTGAACCTTTGCGACAATAATCTACAACCTTGTTTGTACCTTTGGAATCATAGAAATGTGCTAAGATAATTATTGCAGCACACATATGTGCTAAAGTGCTCAAGTGCTAATAAAACCCCAGCCATATATATAGGTTAGATTAATCTTTCATATATACAGGACTGATCCTTAATGTTCTTGTTCAGTCAACAGTCAAGTACAGAATATCTGTTATTTCTAGACTCGAAAGGAAAAATTTTGCCATCAATGCTCAAAGCAAAGGTTTTTTTTTCTTTTCTTTTCTTTTCTTTTTGCTGATTAAAAAAAAAAATTACATACATTACGGGTTGGATTTTACACAGCTTATAAACTCCATTATTTTGGCTGTTAATCCTTGTCTCCATACTAATTTGTGACGAACAAGTCCATAATTTATCATAACTGTCACTGTTTTGTTGCTCGCATTGTTGATATTAATGAATGAATTATAAATGCCACATTCCTTGGGTGATCAGTCCACGACCACTACAAATGATCTTCTTCTTTTAGCCTGAGCCTGTTTAAAAATAAATCAAGCATATGCAAATCATAGAATTAACAAGAAGTTATTTGAAACGTCATGCGTCATAATTAAATAATTAGCGGCCTTCAACAAAAATATACAAGTTGTTATGACTTATTATGCATCCCTTTAGAGATATATTACACAAATATTTGCTCGAAAATAGCTTGGAAAGCGAGACCAGAGATGTTTAGCTTGGAGAAGTAGTAATCTTACTCAGTCATCGTCAACATAAATGGTTTCTTGCTGAAAGAGGCCACCAAACAACTTTTTCACTTCCGTCTTCGGTGGTTCTGTGGGCTGTTTCGCCACTGGCTTTGGCGGTGGTGGAGGCAGCTTCGGCTTCAAAACAGGGAATTTTGGTTTAGGAGCAGGTGGCTTGACAACAGCCTTCTGAGGAGAAAGAGACCTAGCCTTGGCTTGTCCCCTGACGGTGGCAAACTGCACTGCAGCAATCTCAGCAGGGTTCTGAACGGTGGTTGCTATCTGGGAGCTGAATTTTTCCCAGGATAGACCCGATCCCATTTCTTTAGCTTTACTGAACAAGCTGTTGATTGAAGCCCTGGTAGCCTCTGCCTTCTCCTGAGCCTCTTCCGCTACACTGGCTGCCTTTGCTTTCTGCTTTGAAAGCTTATTCACTTCTTCTAGCTTCCTCGCCGCCTCTGCTGCTTCGCGAGCTTTCTGGGAAGTGATTCTTGCCTCCTCCTCTGCTTTTTCCTTGGCTAGAGCCTCTGCATAAGCCTTTCTTCTTCCATCCTCTGGAATTGCACTGAAAACCATTGCGTTAACAAATTTCATCAGGCCATATAATTCTCTATCTAAAACAATCAAAGTCCTCCGTAAATTTCTACCTGAAAAGCTCATCTACCCGCTTCAGTGGAGCCGATGGATCCGTGGAAACTTTCACAACCTAAATCGAGTTCGAATCAGACATCAAAACAATGATAAATGAGATGAATTTCATTAAAATTTGGGAATTTACCTTATTTTCTGCAACGGCGGTGTTCGAGAAAACATCTGCCACCAGCGAAGCTATCGTTGATTTTGCAACCTAAAAACAATTTTCAAGAACACTGAAAGAGGAAGCAAAATTATGGACGAAAAGGGAACGCATTAAAACTGAAAAAGATTACATCCTTGCGTACATTACTTTGTAGTCGTTTGTAGTAGCGCTTCCCTCGGCGGACACCACGACGTTGTATGAACATTCCGGCGTAAAATCCTCCGCCAGGCTCGTCTTAATGAACGTATAGCTAACGTCCGTTTCAATTACTTTCTGTAGGAACTCGGGTACCGTCAACGGCTGAGATTGCGGGAAGAGGTTGCTGAAGAACGATGTGATACCGTCGAGTACATTGTAAGTGGATGCAGCCGCGATGTTCCCGTCATAGATAATCGCCATGTGGCCTACGCCTGCTAGTTGGGCCGCTTGGATGACTTGTAAGGCGTCCAACGTGGAGACCTCAGCCGTGGGACCGTTTTCCCCGGGACCGATAGTGACCACCACCTTGCTGGCGTTGCCGATTGCCTTGGCGATTGATTCGGGGTCCTCGAAGGTGGATTCCACCGCATTCAGCCGCCTAGATTCTTCCTTCGATATTAACTGCAATTTTGATTAAGAATTTAACAGAAAACAATTATATTGCTCTCTCTTGGTAATAATTTAAGCGACAATTTTATAACAAAAAGGAAATGTTTTGATTCATTTATTATATGTTTTAAAAAAAAAAATTTGTCTCCAAATAAATTCAAACCTTAAAAATGAGAGAAAATTAGAAATGAGGGCACAAAGTCCTTGTCGTATAAAATGTATCAAAAACAAAATTTCAGCATCCCTTAATAATAATTCAGAGTATTATTATTACATTTTAATCTTATTAGATTATATTCAATGACATGAGATCATAATGAAAATTGGTTGATTTGAGATCGCTAACCTTGTAATCCGCGGCAAGACAAGCCAACTCCTGGGCAGCACCGAGCTCAGGCACGCCAGCTCTAACCTTAAAGCCTTGGCGCAGCAGCGTCTGAGCTATGCGGATGCCAGCCAGCCCCGTTGCACCAGCAACAAACACTGTTGCAGGATCTTTCCTTCTTGGGTTCCCAAATGATAAACCGGAAGAAGGGTTGTTCACAACTGGGATCAAGGATTTAGCATTAGGTACCTTACCAAAATTGAATCGAAAAGGACTAGAGTTGCCTGAATCTTCACTCTGGCTTTCTTCAGAATTGTCTTTTGGCTTGCCAAGCTGAAATGGAGAGAAAGACCCTGAACCTTTGGCAAATACAGTCAGTCTGGGATTCTTGGGAGTTGGCTTCCAGTGAGTAGTTAACCGGAAAGAATCGGAGGTTAGAGTTGGAGCCATGGATTACGTCAAACCAATATGACTCTCCTTCAATTCATGAAGCTTCGCCGTATAACATATCAGAAACAGAGAAACAGTCGATGTCTGGCAATTAAATTGCGTCTATCTGGATGAGAAGGCAGTGAGAGGCTAGCAAATGAGGTAGAGCCACGTAGTCAGGGTATTATCTACAAAAGAAAATTGAACACCAGACATTCATAATAAAAGATCATGTATCATATTGAACCACCAGAAAATGACTGACCGATTAGAATCTATAGCCTGCTACCACAAAGGTCAGATAGGCATGGACCAAGAGCCAAAACTGGCATACCGCTCCAGGATTTTTAGTACATACCTAATGATACAATAAATGGGAAAAAATTCTTCACCCAGATGGCAGGTGAGAAACTGGAGAGGCAATCGGCTGAAGAGAGTTAAACCCATCTTTTGTAAGTGACTGAAGAGAGTTCAAACCCAATTTTTGTATTTCACCAGATTAAGTTGGAATTAACAAGAAAAAAAATTAAATTAGAAAAGCATTATTTAATGAAACCACTTAATCCAGATAATTATAATTTTAAAACAATAGATTCTGAAAACAGTGCGTGGAGAAACTACCCTTAACTGCAGAAAAAACATAAATCGGCTTGGAATTTTTAAACTTCTGATAGAGCTTCATTCTTCTCAAACCCTTTCTACATAGAACCTGTAAGGCAGTTCCCAGAATACCAATACAAAAATGCGAGCACAGAACATTAAAATAGACATTCTAATTTCTTACCATAACCAACAAGGACAGTGTCTACATTAATAAAAACAAGAAAACGTAATGATACCCAGCCTTTTTTTTTTTTCTGAACTTTCAATTTCCATGGAAACTGAATACTTTCAATCAAATTCCCACAGCTGCAAAGCTGCAACTAAGATTATGGGACTATTAGAGTATAAACAAAAAACCCCACTGCATGCCTGCATTCTTATGGCTCATATAACAGTAGGATTATCATGCCTAACAATAAACTAGCAAGAAAGTATTTCAACTTCGAAGTTTCCTGTATATGATCAGGAAATGAATTCCATCAAGAGAAACTGAACAAGATATAATATAATTCAAGCCTGCAAAGCAATTCTCAAGACCATTTTACAGGGGAAAAGAAAACCAGAAGAGAGTAAGGAACATGCAAAATACACATGCAACACATAAATGACAAAGAATGTAATTATATGATCAATATGCCCTAAATGAGTCACAGCAAAATACTTTGCACAACTTGGTTAGGAACTGCAAAATACCGATACCTCTAAGACACTGAGGAATATCAATACCTTTCAGATTAACTGATTGTGAATACATTCGTGATGAAGCCATCTGAAGATACTTTACATCACAAAATCAGGACCATGGAACCTGACATCTATATATAGCAACACTAGAAATCAAAATCCCCAGAACAACTCTCAAGCTGCCAACCACAGAGATTAAACCAAAACAATGTGAGAAAGTGGCTAAGTAAAAAAACACACACAGAGGATCACCTATAGACTGACTCCTTCTAAAGAGCCCTTGGAAGAATGAAAATACTTCACCTGACCTGAATTGAAGTTCAAATTGTGGATCTGCATGTAGCCTGCTAACCAAGTCATCTAGTTGACAATAATCCATCTAACAGTTGACCACAAGTCTCATTTAGTACAATTACATATTAACACCAATGACAAAAAAATATGTTTAATTGTTTCATTGAATAACAATTAAATAATCATTTAACCATGCAGACCCCTTCAAGTTCTTCCAGCAAATATAAGCCAAACATGGTTCAATGTTCCCAGGTCAGAAACAAATGATCAAATCAACTTTAAAAAATGCAAAAAACTACAAGAGACAACCGCTAATCAAGGTGGCTAGAACCCTAAATACCCTAATAGATATATAAGAACAAAACATCAAATTCCTCAAGACAGCTGTTACCAGAAAATCTAGCAGCGAAGTCTGCATAAAGTTGCACTCAAGAGAAAGCTCAGGAAATCCTCATTTATCCATTCCAGCCGCCAGCAGTAAACACAGACTACATTAAACATCAATATGCAAAATCACTCTCCTATGAAACTTTAAGACTCCTGTCAAAATTAATTATGTCTATTCAGAAGGAACAAGATGCTAAAATAACCAATCATTGTTCCAGGGACACAAGATTTAGTGACTAATGCCCTTCTTAGCTTTGAGTGATTCAAGCGCCTTCTTCCTTAACTCAATCTCAAGTTTCTTCTGGTCAGAGACTGTCTCTTCATCATCACTATAATGAGGCTCCTTTTTTGAGACATGCCCACCATCTGAAGCATAAGAGTCATCCTGGGCCTTCAATTTCAGCTTCTCTGCACATCTTTCTTTCCTTTTACAATGCCTCTCCTTGCGCCATCTACGCTTCTCCTCCTTCCGCAATCTCCCCTTCTTTCCTCCTCCTTTTCACTTCCTTCCTGTCTTCTATTTCAGAATCAGAACTATAATCATCATTAGAAGTCACTTCTTGCCTCTCGGATCTTTTACGCTTTCTCTTTTCCTTACGTTTAGACCTATACTTATCCTTTTCTTCAGAATCAAAGTTTCAGTGTATATGATCATCTTTTTCAACAGGCCCTGCTACTGTCTCTTTTTCAAGGGATTGATCACTGTCCCTCACTTCATTTTGACAAGAGCAGCCCCTTTCATCAGATATTGGCATGCTTCGTTGATCAGGAGTTCCTGGATGAACTTCCCTTGCATAGGGATTCTCACTGTGAGCTAGAGTGTTACCTCTATATGCAAGTGATGATAAAATAAGAAGAAATATAACTTGGGACACAACCAAAAGCATACTTATTTTTGGGGTTTTTTTTCCAGCTTCAACACTATCAGAACAATTCAGTGATTCCGTAGATCAACTGCCAGCCAATCTTTCGGGGTAACGAAGTTTACCAGGAGAACTCTTCCACTTACTGAGATTAGGTGCACACGATGATATTCTATGTGAAGACCTAGATCTATCATTGCTGCCCTCCCTGCAAAAGTAAAGCGACAATGACAGAAAACCCAAACTATACTAACTGCAACATTCAACATGCTTAACATGAGCAAAAGAAAAATAAAGAATAATCAGGAAAATGTTAACTTTTGGAAACTAACCTTTCTTTGTGGGCTTCTTCATTTTCTTTGCTGGTTTCTGGACTGTCCTGATGTGATTTAAATTTCCCTGGTTTCCTTTGAGGACTCCGACAACCATTATGAGTCATCTACTCCCTTCTTTGCCTCAAAGAACTCTCATGTGGACTACATGATATTGAGAATCACCAAAAAGTATCTTAACAAAAAGAATTGCATGTGCAAGGACACGCTACAAAGTCATTTGAGACTAAGACATCTGACACACAGATTAATGAAGATATTACCTTCCATCTTCACTAGCAGTTCTCCTCTTTGTTTTAGATGCCAATTCAAGAACAATTGGAGATTTTTCTGGTGATGAAGACAAAACTGAAACTTTATTTTGTATTTCTTTCTGATTCCTTAGATCTGGCTGCAGCGACATCATGCTAGAAGGCCTATGTGTAATCAGGGATGATCTTTCCTGCAGTCTGCAAAACATATATACATTAAACCACTTTGGAAAGCAGATCTAATATGCTCAGACAAACAGGAGCTATTGAGAAAGAGTTATCAAAATACCTATGTCCTTCTCGTGGAGATTCTAGAGGCAATCTGGATGAAGGGGACCCATGTTGAGCAGAAGATGGAGAACTTAATCCATAACGTGAAGGAGATATACCCTGAGAAGTTGTCAATGATCTCCTTTGGCCCAAAGGAGGTCGTCTATGTTGCACTGGAGAAGGTGACCTGTGACATGGAGTAGGAGATCTTTGATGTCGTCGATGCACAGGAGAGGGTGATCTTCGGGGTGGTCTGCAATGCCCTGGCGATGGAGACCTGCGAAGTCTAGCAGGGGATGGAGATCTGCAACATCTAGCAGGTGACAGAGACCTGGGACGTCTAGAAGGTGATGGAGACCTGCCACGTCTAGAAGGTAATGGAGTTCTGCCATGTCTAGCAAGTGATAATCGTTGAACAGGAGATGGGGATCTATGCCACACAAGTGAATGGGATCTGTATTGATAAGGAGATTGCAGTCTACGACATACATGAGAGTGTGATCTGTGGGGTGATTGTGATCTAGATCTTCTCCTGTAAGATTTCCGTCCAGGCGGGGTTCTGCGAGGTGAACACTTAGGCCGAGGCGCAAGAGATTGCCTTCTTGGAGAAGGTTTCATCCTATCCAAAGAAATGGAACGGCGTCGTAGTTCAGGTGATCTAGAGACACTCCTTGACATGTATAGGTTCAGTTAGTTTCCATATTTTGGGATCAAAAATACATATGAATGGGATCTAGAGACACTGCTCCATATGAAATATTCATCAAAGAATAAGAATATATAAATTAATCACGTAATCATTCATCAGTCCTACATTTTTAGAAGGAGAACTAGCAGTAGCATACTAGCATAAGAGGCAATACTTCCAAAAAAAAAAAAAAAACTGAATAGTCTGAATTCAAATCCACCATTAGCTGGGAAGTGAAAGAACATACTCCGCATAACTTCTAGAATTAGGAGTTTGCTGGGTGATCCAGATCTTGATCTTCTGCATAAGAAACCAAAGACATTGTCAAAATGAATTCCTTTCAAATGCAACTAAACCAATAATCAGAATGTAAATAGCTGAATACTTACTGAGAGAATGACGGAGAACAATCAGCTGAATGAGAAGATCCAGAAGCACTGTAGGAGATGAGCATAAGTATTATTTGATTGAATGGAAGCGGAACTGGCCTTTGTGTAGGAATTTGATCAGTAAATATGTACAGTTTTCAGCATACATTTAATCAGGTATCTCACTTGACTGATTTAATAGGGTCATTCTTCAATTCTCCACATATGTTTAATCACAAGACATACAAATTAAATCAAACAGAAACCTATAAAAAAGAAGCTAAAGTCCTTACCTCTTTCTTCTTCTCACACCATTCCTTTGATCAGCATCTCTCTCATCATCAGGATGCACACTAGAAACCTTTGATAGCTGCAACTCAGCATCAGTGGACTTCCTTTCAACTTCGCCATCCTACAGTAGTTCCGAGTAAAGGACATGAACCCAAATAATTCCAGAAGGTAGCTGAATAGCATAAGAAACACAAAGAAAAGTTAAAACCAAAACCAAACTATATATATCAGAACTCCAACATCAACAAGTGAGTATTACCATCTTCCTCAGTCTCTCTTGATCAATATCTCCACTTGCCTTATCTTTCATCCTCTGGATTTCATTGGTTATACGATCTGCATCTCCCTGCAATCACTATAAGTGATAAAACTGTTAGAAGACTGGATGCAAGTTCCCACTAAAATGCACCATGATACTTCTGAAACTAATTTTGACCTTTTTCTTCCTCGTTTCGTCTTCTTTGGCATCCAAGAATTGTTGCGGAACACCGCTCACATTCTTCTGCGCACTCAGAAGCAGGGACCAGAGCTCTTTCATGAACTTTCCAGTACTCTTCTCCATAAATCCAGTCAGTGATATTTGGACTTCCTTGCCATTCACTTCCTGGATCAGAGCAAATTTCTGCGATTTAAGCAGCTTCGCTTGTTTATTAGAGAACCGAGTGTCCTGCTCGGCCGAAGTGCCCTAAATCAAGGTTAGAAAAACGAAAATCAATCACCGCACACACAATATGAATTCAGACGCATCTACTCGATGAGCAATTCACCGATTCGATTGCAAAGTTCTTAGCAGCTAATATAGAATCGAGATTGGAAAAGTATAAACAAATGAAGAACAGAATATAGGAAAGCTCACCAGGAAAAACCCACCGGACATTTTTTAAGGTTTTGTAGATTAAAATCAAGAGATGGTAAGTTCAGAGAGTAATTGTGATTCAAGACATATAAGGCTATAACTGTATTGTACGGTAGCGCTTGGATTTTACCCCATGCATACATAGAATTTTTTTTCTTTTTAATCTACCTTCATTGTCAGTGAAATTTACTTTCAAAAAAAAATTGTGCCAGTCCCTGCTGAGAGAAAAAAGAAATTTCCTAATCCTAAAATTTCTAAAGTAAACAGCGAAAGGTGTGGGAAAGGAGTTAGCATTGGAGCGTTATTACTCCGATTGCAATAAAGCTTGACGGCCGACGGCGAGAATTTATTTTCTTTTCGACATGTTCCGACCCGGATATGGGATGGGATGGATAGTCAGGAGTCAGGAGTCAGGACCCAAAATGGTCAAAAGGCCCAAAACCAAAAAGCTGAGGGCTCAAATCAGCCCAACAGGTGAAAGTTTTGGGATTATTTCTTGTAATAAATAAATAAATAATTTAGAATAACGGTTGGACTAGGAGTTCGACTCCTTCTCAACCTAGGAGTGGAACTCTATACCCAAATACTATATACATTCAGCATCTTCCCTTGTTCTTCATAATCGTCGCTCCACCGCAAACACAACACTCCCCCCATTCATGGCGATCTCTCCATCTTCTCCAGCTCCTTACAAACCAGTTTGTCGATTTTGGTCAAAGGGTTACTGTAAGTATGGCAGTAACTGTCGGTTTCTGCATCCCGATAAACAATCTCCAGTCGCCGCCAAGAAACTTGTTCCTCCGCCAGCAAGTACTTCTGTGTTTAAGAAAACAGCGCCGACATCAGCCGACATCAAGAAAAAAGTCGCCACAATAACAGCCGCCATTAAGAATGAAACTCCGACGAAGGCGGAGACAACAAAAACGGTTGCGATTAAGAAAGTGGCGCCGATTAAAGAAGAAAGTCCGTCGAAGGCGGAGACAACAGGAACAACCGCAATAGAATCTTTCTCGGGGCCCTTCGGAAGCCTGGCTAATCTTCAAGGTCACAAAAAGGATGTCACCGGGATTGTGCTTCCGACTGGCTCCGATAAGCTCTTCACCTCCAGTAGCGACGGAACAATGTGCATCTGGAATTGCAACACAGGGGAGTGTGTTGCTTCAGGCAATCTGGGAGGGGAAATTGGCTGCTTGATCAGCGAAGGAACATGGGTCTTCGCTGGCTTGAAGAATCTAATCAAGGCATGGAATGTTGCCAACAACAGCGGTGGAGAACCGATTTGCCTGAATCATTGTCTGGGGCAAGTTTATTCCATGGAAGCCGATGAAGATTTACTATATGCAGGAACCCAAGAGGGTTCGATCTTAGTTTGGAGAGACAGTTGCGAAGCAA